CTTTATATAAATATGAATATTTAATTGTTAATTTATTAAATACCTTATATAGTATATGCGTAAGAAATGTAAATGTTATATTTTGCAATTAAGTATTTCTATACAGTAAAACTGTCATCCATTGCTTGATATTACAATAAATGTATGACAAATTTATGAATGTATTTCATCATTTTCTGATGAAACAAGGGTATGTTTGTTGAAAGTTATGTATTCAATTATTATAGTGTTGTTGATACTGGAAAAAGTGGGTTTTACATGTGTGTTTAACATCTTTAGGGTTTTGGATTGCACGGTTGTTACTTGTCAATTTATTGATAACAAAGAATTAATAGATTCTAAATATTCATTTGGACTTATGGAATAATAAAATATCTCAACAAAAAATGTTATTCAGAGAAGCATATCTAGAAGATAAAACACTATAAGTACAACCATAAATCATTAATCCTCTTAGAAATATATATTGCTGCCTATATCTTAAACATTTTTTCACAATAATTAGACATACCATAGTATAACTATTTAGGCTATGTTACCAAAAGGCAGGTACTTTGAATTTGTATGTGGTATACTTCCAAAGCTTTTCTTTATATTTGTTAAGCCTATGTGAATTTCTTTAAATAAAAATTCAAACTTTTTAAATGGAGTAAAATAAAAAAGAAATTCTCATAAAACATTTACTCCTTTAAAATTCTGTTTAAAACAATGTGACATGCTAACATCTATTTTAGACATTGTGAGAACTCCACAAGAGCTCTTGGACAGTCAAGAGTCTATAAGACACACCCTGGAAAGTGTGCAATGTGACACATGCATACACACTCCCCCACAAAACATGTCATACATAAAATAATATGAATTTGCTTTATGAGAAATTTGAATGACAAAAGCTTTCAACAATCAGAAAAATTAGACCATATTTAAAAACTATATAATATATACATACTAAAAATAGATTTGCTATTTTAAAAAGATAGACTAAAAACTAAATACTCATTAATATAAGTAAAAAGTATGAAACAATTGAGGCATACACAAGAGTTGGTATAGGAAGCAAAGAAAAGAGCTTAAAATTTTTCCTAGCTAATTTCTCAGCCTGCAATTCTGAACTGTCATGATGCCTACACCATTCAAATTTTAAAACAGTGAACTCTTGAGGGATAGTAAACTTGGAGTATCAATGGGTTACTCAAAAAATGATACGGTAATCCTAAGGGCGCTAGCAATTTCTGTTGTTTTTTCTGGCTGAAAAACTTGAGTTGATAACTCCAAATCAATTCCAGTTAACTTATTTGTCTCCACGGTTCAGAGATTGACTGAAACAGCAAGGGGCTTGTTTCTATAGACAGAGGGTATCACAAACCATTGAGAGAGTTACTTTCTCAGGAGGGAGTGTTCATACATTAAAATAGTACAAAAAAGAGAAAAAAATAACTTGAGGAAGAATCTGGAGAGTTTATTTCAACAAACATCTAGTCTATTCTTGAAATGGTTGTAGACAAACAACACATTAAAAACTCAAGTTATACTGCTTCATATTACACACACACATATATTATATATATAATATATATAGTATTATGAGGTATACTGTATATGATAAAGTCAGATTATTTAGTTACTTGTCAGTATAAGAAAGTAATTCCTTCTGCAAATAAAAACAAAATAATTGTTTTTAAATTTATACTACAAAGTATGTTTTGCTATATTTCTTTGACAATTATACCCCATCAGATTAAACAGTATTTAGGAAAAAGTGTTGGTTACTTTGGTAACACCAGTCAATAATACTCCCATAAGGCTTAAGAATAGACCAAGTCTTAAAAGAGTACACATTTCGATCAATATTCTGTATACCCTTATAGTTATAATGAAAATAGATACATCTTTCTTTTATTAAATTTTGAACAAATACAATCTGAAATACCAGCAACTAATGAAATAAATATAAGCATTAATAACTATCTGCAATTAGGATAGTGGATGAGACATAAATTTACTTATTTTTCAATGACATAAAACTGTTAGTGTAAGAAGACAATGTTTTCAGTAAATTTCATGAGTAAAACTGATGGAGAAATATGAGAGTTACACTAAGTATTATGCTGGCAAATGTCTTAATTTTTGAAGTAAATCAAATTTGTAGATCTTATATATTATTAATATACTAAAAATGATCATATTGGTTATGGCAGACTTATTTAGACATATGAGAACTGATATTCATAGAAGTATAAAAATCTAAATAAATGTAGAAGCAGTTTGTATCTGCTTTATAATGTTACCAGTTTTACCCCCATGTATTTACAAAATTCCAATTATTCCAAAAGCATAAAATTTAACAAAAAACATACTATCACATAATTACTAAACTTTTATTAAATTTAGAACGAAGATATATATATGTATATATATATATACTATATATGTATATATATACAAATATATATACATATATAGTTGACAGGACATGTAGGCAAAAAAGTAAGATTGATGTGTCTTTCCTCAGATTTCTTTTCATAATTTAATAAAAACATCACTTTGGAAAAGACCGGTTTCTCAGTATTTATCAGTAGCTAATTTTATATTTAAGTAGCTGTCATCTAATATTACAGCAGAAAGTTTTGCAAGATATTATTTGTAAATGCATTAAAATTAGTTGCACTTTTATTCAGCATGCCTGACAGCTGGTATTAAACATCTCAGACCTTGGTATTTTGATAACAAGGATTATTATGAACATTGGGCAGTGTTTTGTTCAAATGTGAAGGGCAAAGATGGTTAATTAAGCTATTCAGGTGTCTACAATAAGATGAAGTGAAACACAATTAATAGGAATAAACAACAAAACATATCTTAGCAAACATTTCATGTGAGCACTGTTCATTAATACAGGGCAAGGGTAATATGTATCCATTATTTCCTTGAACAATCATGCTGAGAAACGACAGACTATAAAGGTTAATATGAATGCATCTTTTCATTTTTATCTCTAAAAGTAGAACCTCGATATTTTTGTATTCATTTTTTTATCAGTTTCAGCATCCATGATCTTATATTCCTGTCCAATACTTTTTAATTGAATGCATACTTTTGCAAAGCCTTTAAGATTACTCTAATGGTCATGAATCTCCTAATATTATTTTTCATCTGAGAATACCTTTAGCACTCTTTCACCAATGAAGGGTAGTTTTACTGTGTTTGCTTCCATTGGCCATGTATTTCTTTCATTCTTCCTGTATCACATGATGAATGATGACAAATTCCCTCATGATTTCCCTCATATTTCCTTGAGCCTAATAGATTTCTTCCTCATTAATGTTTTCAAAGGTATTCTCTTGCTTTTGGTTTTTAAAATTCAAATATCATGATTTCTATTTGGATGTTATTTCATTCAGAGTAGATAGAATTCTCAGAAAATCTTATATATGGTTTGTAATATCGTTATGCAGTTTGGGAGTTCTAGCCATTGTTTCTTCAAATAATAACCACATAACCATACTATCAGTTCTATTTTCTTCTTGTAATTAAATAATTGTATATTTTGGTCTGTTAGTACCAGATAGCACATTGGTATTTTTACTCTTATTTATTTTTTTTCTAAAGTAAAAGTCTCATATGATTTTTATTGATATTCTCCTAGTCTACTGTCCAATAATATTATGTAATCTTCATAATTCCTATATTAAAAAAATAAAGACAGATTTCATCCATTGAGTCAATGATATTTCCTTAATGTATGACTTTACTGATAAAATTTAGCTCTGTAATGTGGTGATATATTGTGATATATATGTATACCCTAATAAGCTTGCTTGAGGATCAGAGGACAGAGCCTGCCACTAGATTAGACATTCAGGACAGGCAGTCATGGCAAGGGCACTTTCTTGCCCAGTGGCTAACTTGCCACAAAGAAAGTAAACTCCATGTGGAGTTTCTTCAATGCCCACCACCTTCTTTGAAGTATATTGGTGTTGCCAGGAGCAGCCATTTCTCATAGTCATTAAAAAAAAAAAAGAAAGAAAGAAAAAGAAACTAGGATTTGCTGAAGGAGACAGAGGCATGAAGGTAATGAGTTTGAGGCCAGCCTGGGCTACTGAGTAAATTCCAGGATAGACTCTAAAGTTATACTCTATGTCCAGTTATTGTTAACTGTGGTTCTCTTAATTATTATTTTGATTTTTTCCAAAGATCTTGAAAATTTTATCTTTTGGATCAGTTTTTATTTACATGTTTGCTTATCAGATTAATACATTGTTGCCTGTTTCTTTATATAAAATGCTTTTTTTTATTTAATCCTGCACACAAATATCGTTACACAGACTGAATAGACTGTATTTGTGTATTTAGGAATATATATATATATATATATATATATATATATATATATATATATATCCTTATGCAATAATAAATGAAAAAAGGCAGTAAAATTGAAAGAAACCAAGAAGGGTTATATGGAAGGTGTCAGAGTAAGGAAAACAAGGAAAAAATGATGTAGTTATCTTATACTCTCAAAAAAATGGTTTTAAACAAAAGAATAACAACAGTCCTTTTCTTTCTGATACCTATATCTTTCTGATATATCTTTGTAAGTTTCTTTCTTCCCAGTCTTCATAAATGTGTCTGCTCATTTTCATGAGTGTGTATAAATAACTTTCAATTTGAGAAGTGGTCCCTTTCCTTTCTAGGATCCTATAAACTCCTGTTGTGTGTAGCATCTCTGAGCAGTAGGAGAGACACTCTTAAATGATGCGTATGAGAGATTCTGTTTCCAGCAGGCAGAAGGCATCAAGTATGCCAACTCAAAACATAAAACTGTCCCATGACATTTCCCCAAAGTCAAAATGCTGGATGCATTTCTTCCCTCTCACTGCTTATGAGAAAAGCTATAAAGTGACATTTTTCCTACTGTGCCAAGCTGTTTCTGTTTCCTTCTGAGTTTTGACAAGTTCCCCTTTACTAATACAAGCCAATGAACTTATTCTTCCTCTCAGGGACCTCAGGATATTCACAGAGTGCCGTTCAACTTGACAATTGTACCAGAAAACAGAATCCAGGTGCTAGGGTTGGTATCCCTGCTCAGGACCTCCCCGCTATCTTTACCTTCAAAGAGACACAAGGTTGGCAGTCTCTTCATATTTTATTAGGCTCTACTTTTTTTGGGGGGGGGGGTTGTCATATAAATTTTGAAATAATTTTTATTGTATCTTATTAATTTTGTTATTTGGGGGTCCTATTACATTTTACCTAGCATCTATGTGTTCATAAGACTTTTTGAATTATCTGTAATTCTGCAACTGCCTTTCTGAGTAATGAGTTTAAGCAATTCCTATTTAATTCTTTGACCAGCTTTATAAAACTGACATTTGATAATTGGAAAAAAGAGAGGAAATATGACGTCTCAAGAAAACACTACAAAACATTATAGTGGATATTGATTGTCAAAAAAAATCTGAATTCAAACTTTACACAGTATAAATAATCACTGTTTTTAATATTAATTATATTTATTCATTATTTTACGTCCTGACAACAGTTTCTCCTCCCTTGTATTTCCCCATTCTCTCCCTCTCAAGCCCCAAATCCACTCTTCCTATGTTTCTGTTCAAAAAGGGGCAAGCCTTCTATGGGTGTCAACAAAGCATCACATATCAAGATGCAGAAGGACTAAGTTCCTCCTCCCCTTAGATTAAGGCTGAGCAAGGCAACCCAGCATGAGGAATAGGCTCCTGGAATCCAGTCCTAGCATTAGGGGCAGGCCCAACTCCCAACACTAGAAGTCCCACAAGTAGATCAGGCTATACAACTAGACAGCCTAAGAGACCACAGATGCCATCCCAGACTACTACTACACCCAGCAAAAAAATCACCAAACACAGAGAAAAGAAGACATTCCATGACAAAACCAAATTTAAACAATAGCTACCCACAAATCCAGCACTACAGAAGGTAGTAGAAGGAAAACTCCAATCCAAGGAAGTTAGCTGCACCCATGAAAACACAAGGAGTAGATAATCTCACACAAGTGAAATAATCACCTTTTTAAAACGTAACAAAGGCTTCTGAAGAATTATGAGAGAGAATCTTCCTTATCCACTATAATGAGAAGTATTTTTGACTTGACAGCACAAATAGAGAATGTAAAATAAGTTTCCATAATTATAATTATAATTTTCTCAACATTAAAAATATTCTTTATAAAACACCCTTTAAAATATGAATATATGGATTATCCATGAAAAATATTATTGAAAACAATTCATGCCATTTACCTGTGCCTTTCTTTTACTACTTTATGACTTTACTTTGTTATTAAATCCAGTCAGAATTCCTATGGGCCTCTACCCATTACATGCTTTTGCCCTTTTCTGCTATTACGGTCCAGAACTTGACTGTAAGACCTTATTGCTATAGGCAGGCGTATTTGAGTCATAGAACATGGCGAAATGAACCTGCTAATGACCTTGGAGCTTCAGCCTATTGACTAATTTTCATAGAGCTACAAATTGCTCTGCATTCTACTAGAATATAAATGTAATCATCACCCACAGCTAGCTGTGAAAGCTGTGAGCTACAGTAATGGCTGGCCTGACAGGTGCAATAGTAGCTGAATTATAAAGGAAATAACCAACAACTTTCTGATTGGACTTAAGTTATGTTCCAAAAGGTACTACCTTTAACTGACACCATTGTCAGACTAAGAATCTGTGGCTATACAAGTCACAGACCCTAGGGAAAAAAGAATCTGCTATCATTTTTCTTCTAGGTATACATAGCAACAAACCAACTCCTAATTATGTATGATTATACACATCGTTCAGTGTGTCTATTCATGAATTAACCTTTTATGAATGTTATAGTGGACCTGTAATGATAAATTATTTTTTAAGTTCAAATACTTGTGTGTATCAACATATATGTGTGTGTATGTGTATACATATATATGTATATATATATATATATATATATATATATATATATATATGCGTGTGTGTGTGTGTCTATGTGTATGTGTGTGTGTATGGTAGTATGTGTGTGCAAATTTTCATGGGAACTCATGTGCATATCAGTGAGGCCCAAACGACCGTCTCAGCTGTTTTTCTTCTTCAGGAATCATTCTTCTTGGTATTTTGATTATGGGTCTCTCTTTGGCCATACTTACTGGTTAATTCAGCTAGCCTGGCTAACAATGAGTGCCAAAGGATCTCCCTGTCTATAACTTCCCAGATCTGGGAAGAACTAGAGTTTTACATGCCTTCTAGCAATTTAATTCAGGTTCTCATGTTTGTATGACAAGTTCTCTGTGAATAGAGTTTTCCCTCCAAATCCTAGATTGAATGTTTTGACAATAAATAAAATTAAGAACTCCACAAAATTTTTTGTGAGAAGGAACAATTTAAGGTTGATAACTTTTAATGGTTGTTATTCACTACCGAGTAAATTTTAATTGTTATAAAAATGAATTTATGAGATCTTATTATATATTTGTGCTAGTTTTAAAAGTTATATATATATGCTATGTAAAAATTTCCAATTTATTTAAGGTTTTTGATATTTTAGTAATCCAATTGATTAATCTTATAAATTGAATTTAAGTAAGTGCATTTGAGATACTAATATATATTTACTAATTTCATATGTGATGTTGTAACATTTAAGAAAACCTAAGGCTTAGCTTACCATCTTAAATTTATATGAGTTCTTTAACTATTCAGAAGGTTTTATTTGCCTATTAGACAATTGGAGTACTTAAAAAGAAATTGAATATATTAAATTTATGAGTGCAGTTTAGAATGTTGAAGGTGTTTAATTAACCAAGTTTGTAAATGGTAGCAAACATTATTCAAAAGCCTATTAAAATAGGTGTAAAAAATGTACTAGATTTAGAAACACAATATTCATATGTAGAACTTAAATGCTTAAGGAAGAGTTAGTTTTAGGATCTGTAATTTTAATAAATTGAATATTAATTTTTAAAACCATAGCAAATTCTAAATAAACTTTTGAAACATAAAAACCTCCTTTGAGAACACACTGAATTTCACAGCTATAGTTAATTTTGTGTTCTGTTTGGCTAATATAAAACATGGTAATTTACTTTATGGCACGGTTTTCTTCTTCCCTCTCATTCCTTTCCTTTATGCAGTCCTATACTTTCAATGAGAAATTAATTTTAGAATTTTATTGAAGACATGGACCTGGATTCCTCCTAGAGGATCTAATATTCCTACATGGACTTCTTTCTTAAGTTTAACCAAATTAAAGTTATAAACTTCCCTGTCTATGTTACTTGAGATTATATGTAGAGTCAGACTTAGATAAAAGATAGGTACATGTCATTTTATTATGAATAATTCACAATTTCAGTAATGAAGGCTAAATCCAAAGAGCCTGAACCGCCAAACTGCAGTCTCAGATTACTCAATAGTATAGATTTAGTCTAAACCTGAATATCTCAATACCTTGGAAGTCATTGATGTAAATTACAAGCCAGAACCAGAGGTGCATAAACATCGATGATATCCAAAGCCCTAAGGCCCCAAACATTAAACTGTACCTTCTAAAAAGGAAGGAATGTTATCACTATTGTATAGAGCAAAGTCTACACTACTATGACTTTCTTTTTGTTTCTGTTCTAGTCACAACAGCAAGAAAGTGGAATCACTGCAGATTCCTATCCTGAAATGAATAGTTAATGAAAACGTGCTCCATATTCAAAATGAAATATTATTCAGTTATAAAAAATTAAATTATATTTGCAGAAAAGTGGGAGGATCCGTAATTATGTGAAAGAAGTTAATAGAGGCTCATAAAGGGAAATAGGTATCTCTCTTTTATGCAGGTCGTACATTTAAAAAATAAAATATGTGTTTGTGTGTGTTAGTTGTAATACTGGCTTTAGAGAGGCAAAATGTTTAGTTTAAAGATATTCAGGATAGTATAATCTATGTGACATGAAGCATGAAGGAGAAAAAGGGACTGATATGAGTGGAATGGTGGAAACATGGATGTGCAAAGGTATACTAAATAAGTGAAAAGGATCTCCAAAAACAAAGATAGTATGAAAATAACATCATAAAACCTACTATTTTGTATGTAGATTAAAAAATAAATTAAACTGTACAAAATAATGAACTCAGACATTTCTTTTAGTAAATATTCTGATGATGAGTTCCTTGTATAAGCTCTCCCAAATGTCCCTTAAATTTCAGTATTCATTTTCCTGACTTTCATTTTGAAAAATTGGAGAACCTTCATGTATGCCTTTAATAGCCATTTATTTAGGTTCATTGGCTTATTTCAATTTGCATTTTAGAGTGATAAATTTCCTGGGTTTTTTTTATAAAGGCTTAACTTAGTGCTTAAAATTTCAGAAACAAATCTAAGAATAGATGCCATAATTTTGAAAAGTGGTTCAAAGAATACTAACCTGGCTCACTGACATTTTATGTCCACTTTTGCTATCCAGTATCATGAGATCACAAAGGATATTGCTGGCCTTATAAAATGTCAATTTCTATTTTTAAATTATTATTTGAATATTTTATTAACATATACTCTGTATATAAATCATATCCAATCCTTAACTCGGCCAACTAACTCTAGACCTTTTGCTCCTCTCCCTCCAAAGTTCATGTTGTCTCTTTTTTAATAAATGTATCAAGTGCTGTGGGATGGTCTGTATGTCAAATTGCTCTGATTGGTCAATAAATAAAACACTGCTTGGCCAGTGGCCAGGCAGGAAGTATAGGCGGGACTAACAGAGGAGAATAGAGAAAACAGGAAGGTAGAGAGAGACACCTCTAGCCACCGCCATGACAAGCAGCATGTAAAGACACTGGTAAGCCATGAACTACGTGGCAAGGTATAGATTTATGGAAATGG